TCAGGACCCAACACGTCAGGAAAATAAACTTCTTGTCCCAGCGATCGCATCTTCTACTCTTCTACTCTATAAGGGTTAACGCCCTGGGATAATAGCCATTCCTTGTGGTTTTTCCAATGCCAATCATATATATGTCAGACCGAAACAACCAATAGAGATAAATAGATCCTTCTTAAGCTGATCGACTTAATATTCCTATCCTGCTAACGCTCATATTTATCTCTAGTGAGGTAACACATCCACGTAAGGCCAGCAGGCGTGCTTACTATATCGCACCAAATGCATTTATTTTCCCTGTTTTAGACATAGGCACCGACTTCCTGCGGTTTAAGTAAGTCTTCAGAGTCTCTGTTTTTTAAACAATTATACCTTATGTGTTAGTTTTGCATTCACTTCTCGCTCTACTTTGTATATATTCAACGAACATTTTGACGAACATTACACCGCATCAACTTTCCCGCAACCCATAAGTTAAGATGGTTACGCGAACTTCAACTTTCCCGCAATCCATAATTGAAAATGGTAACCCAAACTTCATGAGAAATAGAAAGCATTTTTTACATACTTTTACTAACATTATGTGCATTATATCAAAGAATGGTCAGCCGTAAATCAGCCTAAGTATCCTTATCAAGCAAACGAAATAAAAAGAGACATAGTTTACCGAATTGCCCGCAATGCTTGCAGTAAATGTGAAAGACATGAGACCCATAAACTTACTGCGCGTTCAAAGAACTGCTGGTTGTAGCATTCGGACTGTGACTCACAATCGACCGTCAATGTTGGAGGTCTAAATACCTTATTTATACTAGCTTATCTCTTTCTGTGTGTAAATTTCAAAGTCCATAATTGTAAAAGGGCATTGAAAATAATCGAGTTCCCAACGATGCATAAGGTTCAACAATTACGTAACTTTCATGGATATAATTTATACTACGATGATGCGCATAACATTAAGGAAAGCGCATTTTATATATGCATATATCTATATCTGCACATACTATCCACCGTTTAAAATACTTTTAGAAGGATGAGTAGCTTCGAAAACTATGAGGCAACCTGTGCGTAATGTAACCCTATGATGACTATCGCCCTGTAACTTGCTGTCCACGTCTCGTTTTGTTTAGGAAAAAGGAATCAGTTATTTCACCGCCAACAACACTGACCGAGGCGAAATCGCGATATTTCATTTCAGCAATTCGTGCTCCATTGCAAATCTGTGAATCAAAACGGAGAACGGATCTCGTGCCCCAATTTTTTTTCGTTTCCAAATATGAAGACTGCCGCGGGCCGTTTCATATGTTAGTTAAAAGGACACGGTGGTTTATCCTCGTCCGTACCGCCAAGCCAATTAGATATACGTGCCATAAGCACACTACCGTATAAAAATAATTAAGTTGAGCAACAAGCACTTACGCACATTCGGCGCTCTTTTGAAATATGTCGTGAGATTTAAGCAACCGATCACGAAACTTCATGGTTGTCTGATGGCACTGTATTTCCTTCAACATCGCTGGAACGTGCAATTACAGTTTTATGCGATCGACGTCCTTTCCACGACACACCCATCTTGAAATCGCTCCAAAAACTTGCTCCTCGGAATTTACAGCCAGATCATCGCTTTAAAGTAGAGTGATTACAAGTTCCGCGGGCAGGCGAACAAGCAGGCTACTGTAGACGAAGCTTTTGAATTGCTTTTTCATTCGCCGTACGCAAGCATCCATCAGCAACGTGCAATTTAGAGTCTCGGCGAAGTCCCACACAGTAGCCAAGTTTTCTATATCGACTCTATCGACGAAGCCGTAGACAAAATAAACCAGGAAATACTTACGTGCTGACAAGGAACTTCGTTCCCCACTGCTCCAGGATAGGGAGTTGAACCATTCTTGCCAACACCATCATGCCCCGTACGTTCGATTGCGTCATCTTCAATTGACCCGTGTATATATACTGGACAAATGAAGTAGCTAGGCTAAAAAATGCATAAATAGCAAGTAGATTAAATGGGCAAATGTATTTTTTACCTTAGGGGTGCGGACGGCCATTTTAAGACTGATATATCCTCCTCAGAGTGATCAGTTAGCGACGCTCGCAAAATCGAACACGAGCTGCCACTATAATTTTGTGGGCATGGAGCTGATCACCATCCTTAACCTAACACACGCACAGGGGCCGTTAAACGAACAATAACGGCAGCATAACCTACCTCTCTGGTGAGATCCTTAATCTCGCCAGCAATGCGAATCTCGTTGAGAGCGGGACAGCTGCGGATGAGGGGAGTTTTATCTTCAAACAGTTAGACTTGTAAGCTTGACATTTTAGCCGGTACTCAGACTTGAAGCGGAGAAGTGCCGTACGAGTAATTAATGCTATCTTGTGTGATAAACAGCACTGTTTACACCGGCGAGCACGCATCAACCCCCGCCTGGTTCGGATTGGCTGAATAGCTGCTGTGCTAATTCCATTAAATGGTAGACCGTGCAGTTATGCAGTCAAATGTTTAAGCAAGTGACTACAAATTCATTTTATTGGTCAATGAAGAGTGTCAGTTCGATCGGTCTAGACGCACGGCGTAGATCCTGTAGGTTGCGAATTTGAGTGTGAAGTAGTTTGCTTTCTTCGCTCATTTAAGACAATATACTTTTTACAGTACGATAGTAAAAGAAGTTGGATAAATCCGTTTATTTACGTTGATGAATAATGAGCAACGGTCTCTATATCCAGAGAGTGTTTTGACCATCTAAGCTGGTAAAGACAAACCAGTTGAATTAGAGACTTTACATGTCAGGACAGCTGCTTTCTATAGGTGATCAGGCATTTATTATGTTTGGAGGACGTGCTCACAGTTATCCGGCCCAGTCAGGATTCTTTCTGAACATAATCTCTGCCCTCAAGATCGCATACCCCTTGCGAAATGCGCACTCAACGACATATTCAAAAAGAATAGTGCTCCAGCTATGAACTTGTTGCACGCCAGAATAAATTATGAACAGATTACACGAATCATTTAGAGCCTGAACACCATTATTACCTGTACGGAAATAGGATATTTTGAGAACGATGATTTCAACCGCAACTCCGCCTTCTTCCACCAGAGAGACCTGGCACTATCGATAATGATAGATAATAAATCAGACTGTTGTTGTTTGCTTGTAGTCATGGCTAAGTTGAAAAACCAAACAAACGCAAATATTAAGTGAGTACACAGGTCGGAACCCCGGTCGGCTGCTTGTTGTGCTTTACGCGCGGATACTCTAAAATTACATCGAATGGTGATGGCAGATAACATTTTTGAAGGATTCTTTTTTATGCTGAGCAGCAGCTATTTTCGTTGAGTGTGGTAATAAGGTAGAAATTAGCTTACTTCTTTTTTTGCCCCGTTTATAAGCTGAATATTGACTATGGCCCATACAAGCAATTCAGTCAACTACTTTCCCGAAAGGAAAGTATTACACCGTGTACCCATCATGTGACTTCTTACCCTGAGATCCTGATTCTCAGGTGTCCCGATTATAGAACAAGGACCTGTAGCGACCCCCTTTCTTAGTCATGCTTTCCTCGGACGCCACGCGGACTAGGCCATTTCTGGCGTGACCACCACGCGTCCGCAAGACAGCATAGTCAAGGTCACTCCCTGTCTAGCTTTCTCAAGGCGGCCAATCACTTGTCAAGG